AAACTTCCACTAGAACTTGTCAAAAAGTTCAATTGAAAACTGAAAATCCCACTGGTTTCTGAAAACTTCGTAAAAAAATTCAACCAAAAACTAGAAAACCTATTAGTTTCTGGAAAACCCATAAAATTCTGAAAATCTCATCGGAATCTCATCGAAAACTTCAATCAGTCGTTAAAAAATTCAATGAAAAATTCAAAGTTCTTCAAAAAACCCAAAAAAACCTAGAAAGATTAAAAAAAATCCAAAAAAATTCCCAAATAGCTCCAAACTTTCCCCAAACCTTTTGCAACCCTAAATTCACCTTTAGAAAAACCTAAATCCAAACTTAGAACTATGAATTAACTCCAAAATCCCAATTTCCAAATCCCAGAAACCCTTATTGCCAAGATTTTCTTAGAATTTCCCTAATAATTTCCTCCAAATTTCCCATTATGTTTTTTGTGTGTCCTTGTTCCGTAGAATTGGTCTAATTTATAGGCAGGCTTAGGAAGATTTTAGAAAATAGATAGAATCAATCCCAGGCTTGAATCTTGGGATTGCATTCTGTCCAACATGATTTCTGGTCCAAAATTTCAATAATTCGATCCTGTGATTGACCAAGGGATTCTAATCCCGATTTCATCCATTGTGCATGTGTGGATTAAAACAAAAAAGGAAAGTAGCAAAGAAGAGAAAAAGAAAAGAAAATAATAATAATAATAATATAAAAGAAAAGAAACACATAAAAAGAAAGATAAAAAAGGAAAGTAATAATAACAATAATAATAATAATAATTTATAAAAAAACTATTTAATTGGACTTGGTCATGAAAGTGCCTAATTTGACCCAAACACAAATTGGTCTAATTGGGCCCAAATGTCAACAGGCCTAATTGGGCCTGAATATCAATGTGCCTAATTGGGCCGGGATGTCAATAAGCCTGATCAGGCCTAGACATTAATGGGCCTAATAGGACCCGGACATAAATGGGTGGCTATACATTATAAAATAAAAATATTAATATATTCTATATTTATATTAATAAATACCAAAATCCTTTATTTAATATTAACCAAAATCCCTTTTTTTCATTATATATGTTTGCTTTCATTTTAAACTAGAATGTTACCCCATGCTATGTTAGGGGAATAGAGAGAAAAAAATTTTATTTTTCATTTATTTTAAATTAATAAAGATTTAATTATTATTATTATATTTAATTATTATTAAAAAATTATTATATTGTATTATATTCCTATTATTGTTTTTATTAATGTTTCATTTATCTAACAAACAAATAAATTTTTTAATGTTGATAATAATACTAAATTATTATTATTATTATTATTATTATTATTATTATTATTTGTAATTAATTTTGTATTAGAATAAATGGTAAGAACCTCCTTATACTTTAATAACATTTTAAATTTATAAGATGACTCTTCAACTTATGAAAATATTTTCAAATTTGTTATTACAAATTTAAAAATAATTTTCATTATTAAAGATTTTCAAATGATCTTTTTTATTGTTAACTCTATCGCTTTAATTATTTTAAGTAAAATGTAAAAAATAAATAAATAAATGTAAATAAAAGTTAAAAAATATATTTAAGGAGTTAAAATGTTTGTAAAAAATGGAATAAAATTAAACTACATACATTTTGGATTTAGGCTTATTTACATAAAATGTACTAAAGGTCTACTTTGGAGTTATTTATTTAAAATGAACAAAGCATTTGCAACAATTTTTTAAAGACTTGTTTTAATCTAGCAAACAAAATTCAACCCATTTATTTTTTTCCAAAATCAAATTTAATTAACAAAATAACAATCCATTATCTCTTTAAAATTGACCAAGATAAATAAAACATTAACTTCGCCTACAAAAGTGGATAGGTGTTAAGTATTAATATCAAAAGGATACATTTAATATATACTAGAATGTTACCTCTACTTCGCATGGGGATTTTTTAATTTTTATAAAAAAATAATTTAAAATTTTATTTTTTTAGTTTTTAAATTTTTTAGATTAAAAAATATGAAAATCTTATATCTAGAGTTTTTTATATGGTTGTTTGAATTGATTGGTTGTTGTTAAATTTTTTTTGTAATTTATTAAAAAATCTCAAATCTAATTTTTAGTTTTTTAATTATATATTTTTTGTTTTTAAAAGACATTTTAAAAAAAATTTAAATTTTAGATTTGATAATTTTTAAAGAATTTTTATTATTTTTTGTGAGATCTTTTAGTTGATTTTTAAGTACATTATTTTTTCAATTGATTTGTTTTTAGTTGTAATTTTTTTTATCTTAATAAGTGATTGAAAATTAATATGTTCATTAGTTTTAAGATTTTGAAGGTTGATTTTTTCTTTGATAAGTTGGATATATTTTTATGGATTTTTTGTTATCTAGGTGTTTATTTTTTTTCAAGATGAAAAGCTGAATTAAAGTTTAAATTTGTCTGAGTCATAGTTGATGGACACATTGACTAAACGACAATCTTAAAAAGGAATTAACTAAGGTAGAATGTGTATAAAAATCTTTTCTTGACATCATCAATGGTTGCGAAGTTGGTAACAATGGTCTTTTTGCTAATCTCATTATTTTTTGAGATGTTGGAGTCTTGATTAGAATGGAAGGTAATTCCATTGGCATTAGTGGTGTTGATGGAATGGCTATTGTTTGTCTCAAATATTGTCATGAATTATGTTGTGTTACCGAACTATTACCAGTAGAGGTAACCAATAAAGGTTACTCATTAACAAATCTAACAATATTTGGACAAACATTTTCTATATTTGTTTGGGATAACCAAATTGGATTGATCGATCGAGTTGGTGCTGAAATGGTCGACGATGAAACAATTGAAATGGGATAAGTTTGTTGATTTCCAAACAAAGAGTTACATGAACAGACATTTCTCTTAGTTTCACGTTGGTTTAAAATATCCCGTCTTCGTTGCTTATGTTATTTCGATTCCATTGACCAATTTAAAACTCTAAATTAAAAAATGTAATTAAAAAATAAAATTAGTTTGAGATCATGTATAAATATATACATCATATATTGCAAATTCTATCTATATGTCTAACTTTCTATTTATCTATCAATGTACACGTGAAATAATATTATGTATGGCTATATAGATTTTTCCATATTTAATAAAAAACATAAAAGATATATAGCATAGTTAGCTTATAACATACCTTGGGTTGATTTATGAAAAATGAGATAATTATGAAGGTTGGTCGAAAATCTACACACAAAATTTAATCTTTAATTCAATTTAATAAGCAATTAAGTAGATTGTAAAATAAAGATAAATGAAAAAATATTATTAACATCTAAAGACAACCTAATGACAAAATAACAAAATTTCATTATAAACAATATAAACAACTAAATGATGCATAACATCAAGTGGTGAAAACAGTAATTTTTGTACATTTATTGAATTTATAAAATAAACATTAAAAAAATAAAAATAAAAATAAATTTAATATGTAATACAATTATTCCAAATACTATATTAAAAAGGCTTACACTTGTTGCTAACATAATTTTCATCATTTGCATAATCATTGTTATTATCTATTATTTCTGAAGGATCATGTTCAATCTCATCAATTATAATTGTTTGGCTTTCAAACTCAAAGTAGTTTGCAATTTATCCAACTCTTCCTTTGCAAGTTTTGGAGCAGTTTGTCCATAAAATGGTGGAAAATCTCTAAAAACAGGAACTTTTCTTGACTTAAAGGTATAATTTGAATAAATTTTCCTCTGAAGATAATAACTCATTTGGCTGCTGGTTTTTTTTTTTTTCGATGATATCTTGTCAAAATTATTTTTGTCACAAATTTTCTTTTTTTTTAAATATTTCAATCCATCTAATTCATTAAATTTGTGAAAAAAAAGTTAGTATAATTATTTAAATATTATCCCTTGAGTTATTTTTTATTAGGAGAATAAATATACTATTTTTTTATTTAGTAAAAAAATCATAACCAAATATTTTGATGAAAATTTGAAAATACATGCTTTTATATATTAAAAAAGATTTCGTTTTTTGCTATCACGTAATAGACAGTAAACATATCGAATCACAAAAAAACACATACATAGATTGGTTGTTGTTAATTTTTTTTGTAATTTATTAAAAAACTCAAATCTAATATTTTTAGTTTTTTAATTATATATTTTTTGTTTTTAAAAGATATTTTTAAAACAAATATTTAAATTTTAGATATGATAATTTTTAAATATTTTTTATTATTTTTTGTGAGATCTTTTAGTTGATTTTCATGTAGGTTATTTTTTCAATTGATTATTTTTAGTTGCAATTTTTTTATCTTAAAAAGTGATTGAAATTTAATATGTTGATTACTTTTAAGATTTTGAAGGTTGATTTTTTCTTTGATAAATTAGATATATTTTTATGAATTTTTTATTATCTAGGTGTTTAGTTTTTTCTTTACAAAAGCATTTGAGGGCATTATAATTGCCAGCAGCATATCATCATCCCTGTACTCTCATTATATATATTTTTTATAGTTATAATTAAATAAATAATTTTTTTAAAATTTTTTATTTTAAAAATTTTCACACGGTAAATAAAGGATTCTAAACATACTAACTTTTAAAAATATTTGAAAAAAATTAAAAACAATTTAAAAAAAAACTAATAGCTAGCAATGACTTACCGCATGTCAGTATACTATCCTTTAGGGATAGTTTATAACTCATTTACTTTTTTCAAAATCAAATTTAACTAACAAAATTACTGTTTAATTTTTTTCAAAACAAATCAAAATAAATAAAACATTAACTCACCCACAAATATAAGCAGGTGTCAAGCGTTAACCCGCAAAAGGATACTTTTAATATATAAGGTATAAAATTGCTATGAAATATCATAAATTAATCAAAGGAAAAATGTTTAAAAAAAAAAATCATAAATTAATTACAATAAAGTGAAACGGCAGGGGTATTTGCCGTTTGAGGCTTTTTTTCGGTTTAAAAAACTAAGGAGAGAAAAGCAGCCTAAGGTAAGACCAACTTTCTCAGTTTTATTCAGCTGCCGCCTCCTTCCTTGCGATCGTACCTCTCTGCTTTGCGTCGTCCAACTGCGTCTTCGAGCTGCAGTGGGCATTGCCTAAATATTCAATACTGCATCCTCAATCGGTCCGGTCTTCCTTCTCAGGTGACTGCTTTCCTCTGTTTTGCTTTCGAAGTACTTGCAGTGAAGTTTTCACTTTGAATTCCTCTCTGAAATAGGAAATATATTTGTCATTAGAATTGAATAGTGCAATGTTGCCATTTATCTTGTGTAAGATATATATTTTTAATTCGTTTATAGGTTTCCTGTCATGTGTCAACCACTGAAAATGTTGAGATTGTTGATGGGATCAACTATGGCTAGTTTTAGTTTCACAAATAACGATTTTTTATTATTTAAGTTGTTTTTTTTGTTGATCTTGAGTGAGCTACAATTTTAATTTCCGTTTGATTTTATACATTTAATTATTATATGTGTAGATTAGATGCAAATTAAATTTAGTCCTTTCTCGGGTTTGGGTGAATTAATCGGGTATCCGTGGAATGAGTTTGACTTAATAATAAGGTATTTAACAGGAACGGGTAGTTAACGAGTATTGCTTAAATTATATGGGTAGCAAAAATCATATAGCACCCTGGTATTTCTCTGTTCGGATACCTTGAAATAATGAGGTTCCGGTATGGGCAGCTGAAAAATAGCGTGTATCTTACCCGCTGTCATGTGGTATTTATCCCTATTAAATATTATAAAAAAACTTATAATAAAGAATTTAATTTCTTGGTTGTTTTTGTTATTTTGTAGGAAATCCCTTAAAAATCATCTTAGCTGAAGATGCCCATTTTCTGAATCCATGAATTACAGTACCATATGCATAAAAAATGACTAGTCACGTAATAGAAAATTAGATTTTAATGAAAATGGTTTTCAAGTTTTGTATTAAGCTTAATCATTTCCTCTTTAAATCTTTCATTTTCGTTCTTTCAATTAAGAATCAGAATGATATGGCATTTAATTATAATGTTGTTCTGGTTTCACAACAGATTGTGGAAATTTCAGACCTATGTTTTACCACACATTTCTGATGTAATCTGGTTGTTGGGTTGGGTATCGTGTGGGTTAGCCGGGCATTTTGTTTTCTATTGACTTGTGGTATTCTATCACTGAAAGTTTCATTTGAACATTTAACAGTATTGACTGTAAGATAATAATAATTTTAGAGAGGATGAGTGCTGGTGGTTTGAAGGGCATGATAGGTTCAGCTGTCGTAGCAGGGGTTACTGAAGCTAGGGCAAGAATATTTGGACATATACTTAACCCAACTGGGCAGAGATCACCTCATAAGATTTTACGCAAAAAGCTCATTGGTGACAAGGTTGCAGAATGGTACCCGTATGACATCAAGAACGATGATCCACTTGTCATGGCCCGGCAAGAAGAAGAGCGCTTATCTAAGCTTGAAATGTTGAAGAGGCGTGGTAAGGGACCACCCAAGAAAGGCCAAGGAAGACGTGCTGTTAAACGCAGCAAGTAGAGGTAATCACATCAAATGGTTTTTTCACTTCATGGAAGTTTGTTGTTTAATACACTAAGCCGTCTTCTTGGACAGCTTGTTGCTGTATTCTAAAATTAAAAATTTTCTTAGCTGAGTATATTATAATGTCTTTTCATAGTTTCTCAATTTGCGAAACTTATATTCTGTTGACCATCATGGCAAGTAAATAACTGGAATGCTTTTCATTTCTCATTGAATGAGTGTGCTGCCTAGATTGTGTTATATTTTCCATGTAGAATATTGGGATCTTGTACATGTAAAGTTTTACTTGCTTTCCTGCTTCTCACCTATATTGTGGTTTTCCTTTTGCTTCCTACATCTAAACTCTGATGGCATGCTACTCTTTTTTGACATTGGAATAACTTCCTTGTTCTTGTTGGTTCCTTTGTAGAACTTTTAAGAAACAATTTTACTATCCTTAGAGTTTCCAATTTGGATTGTGAACAAACAATTTATGTGTGTCAATTGAAATGGAAAATAATGGATTTGATGAAATAGAGGCAGTGCTTCTTTGCACATGCCAGGATTTGAACATACAATGTTTAGAATGTCATTCAAATGATATATGGCATTTAGCAAGTTATTTCACCTTATTTTGAAGCTTTTCTAGCTTTCTTTTGGCTGGTCATACATTTCTAGTGAGGCCCTGGATTCTTGATTATGCCTGATGTTACTGTCCGTGCCCTCAGAGGCCTGAACTGATTGTCCTTGGAAATCTTGGAGTACCATGTTGCTCTTCCATAGGAAACCAAATTTGAATAAATATAAGATTGTTGAGCTACTTTTATCTTACTCCTTTAACAAAATTTGTCTGAATTTCAGAAAGCAAAAAGAATAAGATTAAACAAATAAGAATAACATGAATTTGGAAAATAGTTCATTTTTCTTATCTATATATTAGATTTCTTTTTCCTCATTCTTTCAAGATTCTAGAAAGATTCATTAGCTGTGCATGATTAACTGACTTTTCTTAGTTCCTGCATCAATTCTATGTGGCAAGTTGTGACAGTTGCTTTTGTTGGAATTTGCTTATTGATGCTTTCTTTTATTTCTGCTTGCATTTTACATTTGCAAGTCTCTCATTTTTTGTGTTACATCTCCCTTCTTTTTCCCTGGAAACAGTGAGTGCATTTCAAGTAAAGTCAACATTGGTTTCTGATTTATGGCTGCAATAAAGCAGTACAATATCACCCAATTTTGTGATGATGTCTTGAGATATGCTATATCTTTCTGTTAATGGTGCTTTTGCTTCTCAAGATGGCTGGTAACTTTTTCTCTTCAATGCTGCAGGCATTACCTTCCCAATTGCTTGATCAGTTTTCCCAGATCAAATGCTTGCTTGTTGATACTCAGTTTGGCAGTCAACATCCCAAGGGGTTGCCGCTTTTACAAAGTTTAATTGCAATGTCATAATGACTTATCGGAGAGGTGCAAGAGAAAGGCCTTTCTGACTTAGTTTTTGGGATTAGTACTTTATTTATTTTATTAAGATACTACAAATATGCAGTGATAATAAATTTCTAAGATCATTGATCTCATCTTCTTTCGGGTTCCTGACTTTTCTGCTGCGTTTGCATTTACCATCTCTTTGGGATTTCAAACAGATCAAATGACCGAGAGAAAGGGAGGATTTTAGATATGTTTATTACTCTTAATGACCATGTGCTGTCTGTTTCATTCTTACACCATGCAATGGTTCCTATGAGAAGTAGATTCTAGAGGTGCGTATCTTATGGGATCCAAAAACATCATGGCCCTGTGCCGCTAGAAAAGAATCCATATCTGGTATATGAGTTGCTAATTGTAATCCTACTGAAAGGCTAATGTCATAAACCAAGATCCAGAGGATTTATTGATTAACCACTGCACAAACGTTTGGCAAAAACGTCAGATGTGCAAGTTCCATTGCAAGATAACTATTGTAGTCTGGCCTCACGTGGACAGTTCCGGCACTCGCTGCTCTTATTTGTTGAAGCCTGATTGAGGCTAAAACTCTGTTTGAATCAACTTAAATATTGCTTGATGCCTTGATCTCCTAAAATTAATACTGATTTGATTGTGATAAACTTGCATCCGTTGGAGATTTGAATATGGCAATCTTCAAATAATTGGTTCTTTCATAGGGATCCGCCTCGAATGTCACCAACAGTCAAAACTTGGACCAGTTTATGATTAATTTTTCTGTAATTGTAACTTTAGAATGATATAATAATTAATTATTTAGTTAATTATATAGATGTAATATTTGATTATAAGTGTAATTTATAAAAAAAAAAAAAGTTTATATCAACATGATCACTAGTAGAACTACATGATTTTGACATATTTTCATACGTGATAAATCACATTAAAATTTTAAATCAATTTGTAAGGAGTCTTTGAAAATTTTAAAATCAAATTACCTTATTTGATAAAATAAAAATTAAATAAAATTTTTAAATTTGAAAAAGAAATTTTAGTAGGTTTAATTTTTTTTTCAAATTCCAACTATGAAATTTTCTAATTCTTTAACAATATATCAACATTTATTATGGTTTTTAACCGCAATTTTAATTTTTTTAACTCTAACCATGAAAACTTATTTCATTTTTTATTTTTTGCATTTTATTAGCAATATCTATATGTTTTTATAAATCTAATAACACACATGTTGCATATTTCTCAATATTTTTCTTATTCTATTTCTATTATCACCATTTCTCTATTATAATTATTTTTATCCAATAAAATTTAAATTGGCCTTAGTTTGGATTGATTGACCTAATGATTAACGGTTAAGATATCATTAATTATACTGTTAATGCAAATGACCCCCCAAAGCCCATATTGACTTGTCAATTTTTTGAAAAAATCAAGAATGGTCAAAAATATTTTTCGAATCAATTGAAAATGATTTTTCAAAAATAATTTTAAAATTATATCTAACTTATTTTTTACATATTAACCATTGATCCTTTGATTTTTTTATTAAAAATTTATTTTTCCTTATAATAAGTCAAAAATAAATATAAAATACATTATAAAAACTAAAATAATAATTAAAAAAATTTGTAAGCTTCGATTTCTTTTTATAGAAGTGAAAAAAACAACAACTTCTTGGATATTGTCTCTCTCTCTCTCTCTCTCTCTCTCTCTCTCTCGTAAACCTACTAATTAACTACTACGTACCAACTTTGAATCATTGAAATCGGGCCATCAACAATGACCTTAGCATCAGGAATTGTATGATTCGGATTTGCAAAGTGCAATGCAATATGAAAATATTTATGTACAGTAATTTTTTGAAGAAATTACAATCAATTGCAATATGATATTTTTTAAAAGTTAATAGCATGTGATCACCTAAACTTTTAAGACACATATTGATTTTGTTTTTAAACTTCAAAAAATAACTTATTGATACCTAATTGTCAATTACTATAATGAATTAGTCATTCTATCGATATATCCGTTTAGATGTGCTAGTTGAAAGTTGAATGAAAAAAGAAGAGGATAAAAAAAAAAAAAAACTTAACACTTTTTTAAGAAATTAAAATATTTTATCAAATATTACAATTTAAAATTAAAAATTTCAAAATATTTTATTTTAAATTATCTTTTGTTTTTATTTTTGAATCATAATATATATTTTTAACACATTTCCAAATTCTATAATGTAAATAAATAAGTTTTTAAAATTTCTATTTTAAAGAAGTTTTTGTTTTTATTTTCAAATATAATATATATTTTTAATATATTTTATCAAATATTACAATTTAAAATAAATAAATTTCAAAATTTTCTTTTTGAATAAGTTTTTTTTTTACTTTTAAAAAAATTTGTTTTTTTTCAAATTTTATAGTTTAAAATAAATAAATTTTAAAATTTTATATTTTTAAGAAGTTTTTTTAATTTTTAGATATAATATATTTTTATATTTTATCTAGTTTTATAATTTAAAATAAATAAATTTCAAAAATTTTCTTTTTTAATAAATTTTTTAAACAGCTTTGGAATATAATATAAGTTTTTAATATATGTAATCAAATATTATAATTTAACCCTAAATTTTATAAGTTAACCCTAAATAAAATTTAAGATTCGACTTAACGAAATTATTGACAAAAGAAATATTTTGTTATAATGTTAAAAATTTGCAATCAACAAATGACGTTTGAAAGTATAAAGACTAAAACTAAACCCAAAGTTTAGGGATCACGAGTGTTGTTTACATTTTTTTTCTACTTAATTAAGTTACATCAAATAATATTAAAAGTTTTTATTTTAAAATTATAATCATAATCAATTATTATATCTATGTAAATATCATTAAATTAATTTAAATTAGTAAATCAATTAACAAATTAATGCGAAAGTAAACAACTTTTGTATAAAATTATATCAAATTCATATACAATATGACTAAAACCTGAAACCTAAACATTTTAGGGTTTCCTCCCTAACACAAAATCAAAGCCTTATTGGCTTAAAAGCTGGTCTTTTGTTAGATTTTGTTGCCATATTTTTACGTTTATTTTTAATGAAATGTTAGCAATTTTATTAATTACTTTATGCTTTTTATTTAGTTGTTAGTGTATTTGAAAACAAAAGTAAGTGACATTTTAAAGAATTAAAAATAAAAAAAATGTAATTTTCTTAATAATATTCAAATATATTATTTTATTTTAATTTTTATGCAATAATCATGCTAGAATTTTTATTAAATTTGAATTATTTGTTTGTTTTTTCATTTTCACCTAGTTACGAGTTTATTAATTTCTATCATTAAGCTTACTTTACAATAATTTTGAAGAAATAAAATAGAAACTAATAAAAATAGATAACAAGATATTTTGTTCTTAGCGTGAGACTAAATTCGAACCCAACTATTAATTGGACCAATTGTTTGGATTATGTAAAAAGTTGAAAAATTTGTAACCCAGAAAATTAGCATTTTATAGCAAAAAAAATATATAGGACCAAACAAAATGACTTATGATTCGTCGCTTCAACAAATATGAGCTAAACAATATGATGTGTCATGTTGCTTAACAGCATGTGTAATTCATTTGCTTAATTTCATTAAAAAATCCCTTATTTGATATCCCTCAAAATGTATAATCTTGATTTGAAATAAATATTTGATTTAATTCTAATGTTTAATCCTAATTTGAAATAAATATTAGATTTAATTTTGATTTGAGAAATCCCTCTAAGATTTAATCTTAAATCAAGTATTTAGTCATTAATTAATCCTAAAGTTAAAGTATCTCCTTAAATATTTTTATATTTAAAATTATTAAAATTTAAATCATAAATAATTAAAATTAAAAATTTAATATTTTATCAGTATGTAATTTTGAACATTTTGCAAAGTAGCTTTGAGTGTCGGCAAGTGCCTTAAACGGTAGGGCTTGCATTGGCATTTGCTGCCTAACGTTGACTAATTGAAACAGTTTCCATCTGGCTGGATATGGTTAACTTATATGTTGGTCAGTTGCGTTGCTTCCATAATGCTGGAATCTTTAAGTAATTTCTTGGCAAAAATTCTAAATTTTGCGCCTTTCATTGAACCAAAAAAAAAAGAAAAAGGGACAGAAGCTACATTCTCAACCACAGACACACATATAGCCTGGAAAAAAGAATGTTACAGTTGTTTTTTTCTTTTTTTCTTTGAACATGGTTAGTTGTTGAAAAAAAGATTTAAATCGAATTTTTTTTTTTTAAATAAAAGTTGAGGATATATACACTTATTATTGGATCAAAACCCAAATCAGTATATTGGTTTCTTATGCTTAAGATAAAACGTGTGATTTTTAATATTAAAAAAAAAAACTGTTCATATTCAAAACTTTTAACTCGTGGTCATAATTTATTGGTTTAATTGTGATAGAAATATTTTACTCATGATTTAATTAATATACCCTTAAATTGATGGATTTTGCCTTTAATGAATACCCATGAATTTACCCATATTATGTCAAAAATACCAAATAATTAAAATAAAAATAATGAGACAAGTAGCTTAACTCTTAATTTTATGTGCCAACCCTTTTAGAAGGCTCTAAGCGGGCAGTTTTTTATTATTATTATTATAATTTTAAATTTTACGTCGTTAAAAAGTACCTTTGAATATAATGTTAAAATAGGTAATTTATCCTCTCATATTACAACCACTACCTTTCCAAAACCCTTGAATTTCAAACATGCTTTCTTAATTTCTTGTGGACGACCAATTATTTTAAACTTTCCTTTTATGAAATTTGTAACTTTATTTTTGAGCATACAGCATACATATTTTTAACTTCAATTTGTTAACATTATATATATTCTCAAGACGTGTTGCATTTGTCATGAGGCTATGATGCTATAGCCACTATATTGTATAATAAAATATAGGGGTAGGAGATGAGAAAGAGAAAATAAGAATATAAGATAATGCTATGTTTTCAATTAGGGAGGTGTATGAACCGAAGGGTGGTTGTATTATTGTGAAAACAATCCCTTACCAACTCCTAATTTTCTGCTTATCATCTAAAAACTTTGGAAAAACTATTAATATTATTAAATACAACACATGCATTCTTCAAAAGGAGACACAAGATTTAAAAAATAAAAAAGCTTCTCCTACAGTCCTACTCCTACCGCCATCGTGCATCCCATCATGACCAAGGAGGCAAAGATTGTTAACATGTCTTAATCTACAAAATACAACGTGTTTGAAGGCTTCTAAATTTAAACTCTCCTACCATATTTTGACTATTTTGAGGATTCAGCTCATTTAGAGATCAGGGACTGTAATTTAGTGATTATTTTCCTAAGTTATTTGCTCCTTTCATTTACCAAAATTTAACTAATAATTAATAAACATGCTTATTATGAAAAAAATTAAGAGACTCTAATCAAGTACTTTACTTGGACTGTCGGTCGTATAAATATATGCATAGATGGTACTATAAATATATAATTTGAATTGGAAAAATTATTTTTTATATGTATATTTAGAATTCATATATAATTTAGTGAAATTAAAAAAATAATCTGTAAATTAATCCTAGAAAATGATCCTTGACAAAGCTATAGTAATATATACATAGTTGATAATAACAGATTGCATAGATATCATCAATATTGTTCTCTTTTTCTAAATAGAAAAAATAATTTTATTAAGGTTTAGTTGGTTGATACCTATCAAAGGTGGATTCCACAGCCGGCTATTCATTCTAATAAAATCAACAAACCAATGATTGTAATATACGTATTGTTTGTCTCAACAGTCAACAGCAGAGTCCCTGTCAAAACCCTTCCATGAATTTAGAAAATCCACTATAGCAATTGAATACAACAAAATCGTGGGGAGCAATAATTTCAAGAAAAATCTCCCCCAACCTCCTTCCATTTGTCCTACAAAATATAGTATCCCAAAACCCTTGATTCACCGTCTGTTGAAAAGTCTGATCACGCTACTTCAAGGAAAGCTAGCGTTTCAACTCTTCACATTTAAAACTATAATCTTGGCATCCTAGCATTTTCATATCCTTCCCTTCTATCAAAGCTAGAGCTTCTTTATATAAAATGACACTTTAATTACATGAAAGTTGAATGCATGTAATTTCTTGAGTGGGAAAAAAATGGGTCAGAAAACGATGTATGATACTATTTTTGCTAGAAGCTTTAGTCGATACGACCAAAAGAAGTTGGGATATGGAGCATTTCTTGGTTGTTTGCTGATTGCATTGAGCTTCTGCACTGTCTTCAAGCCTTACTTGGGTCCTCTACCAGTTTGTAAGTACCCCTTAATTTATTCTCTTTCTGCATTAATCTTTCCACACTCCGTTCAAACTAAAAATGCTCTAACTCCATGTATAATAAGCACCGTCACATTATAATTTAGTTAACGTACCATGTCTTTTGCAGTAAATATGAGGCTGTCCATGGATGTTGGTCTCAAGATGCTAAGGATAACGGATTCATCCAGCTCTCTGAAGCGAAGGGCCAATGATACAAGCAGTTCCATAAGAATGATTGTTAATGAAACAAGCAGCTCCGAGATTGAGGTGGTGGAGGCCAACAAAACAAGCAGCTCTAATGAAACAATACTTAGCAATGATGCAATTAGCTCTAGCATTCCACTTTCAGTGGTTAATGTCACTTTTAGCACTAATGTAACAATGAGAAACGGCACAATCAGCTCCAATATGTCACTTCCAGCTGATGATGATGATGACAGGATGAGCAGCTCTAAGTCGACTCCTGGAATCAACTATACCAGTAGTTCCTCTAATGTGGCAATGGGGAACGATACAATCAGCTCTAATATGTCAGTGTCAGTGGTTAATGACAGGAGCAGCAGCTCTGAAACGCCAGAGATCAACAATAAAAACAGCTCTCAGCAAGCCAAGGGTAAGCGTTCAGTTGATTGTCTGGTGGAGAACAACTTAAAAACAGACGTTTGAACTTAGAACTAGTCATTTTGACGCTGATTTTTTATTGTCCAGATGTTGTACAGGAGAAAAAGAAGCCAATTTGCAATGTAGAAGCAAGAACAGAATTTTGTGCGATGAATGGAGATATAAGGATCGATGGAAAATCCTCTACAGTTTACATGGCTGCTTCACCCAAAACAGGTATATTGGTAGAAAATAGCTCGTGGATCATCAGACCTTATGCCCGAAAAGGTGATGAAGAGGCTATGAATAGTGTAACAAAATGGTCCGTAAAATCAGGGGTGGATGCCTATACCGCAGCAGTACCTGAATGCGAACAAAACCACAGAGTTCCGGCCATCATTTTCTCCCTTGGGGGATATGCAGGAAACAATTTCCATGACTACACTGACATCGTTATTCCTCTATATTTAACTTCTAGACAGTTTGATGGAGAAGTGAAGTTTCTTATCACTAACAAAAATCCATGGTGGATTAACAAGTTCCAAAATGTACTGCAACAGCTTTCTAGATACGAATTGATTGACATCGATAGAGAGCAACACGTCCATTGTTTCACAGGTGTGATCGTCGGGCTGAAGCGTAATCCTAAAGAGCTGAGTATTGATCCTTCAAAATCACCTTATTATTCCATGAAAGACTTCAGGCAGTTTCTAAAAAGTGCTTATTCCTTGAAAAAAGACACCGCTATCAAAATAAGGGATAATGGTGGGAAAAGAAGACCTCGGCTTCTCCTTCTTTCAAGAAAAAGAACCCGAGTATTTACAAATACGAACGACATTGCTAGAATGGCAAGAAGGTTAGGCTACAAAGTAGTTGTTGCGGAGGCAGACTCGAACGTGGCAAGAGTTGCAGAAATTGTGAATTCTTGTGATGTAATGATGGGAGTTCACGGAGCTGGCTTAACCAACATGGTTTTTCTTCCTGAGAATGCAATTTTGATCCAAATTGTTCCCATTGGAGGGTTCAAATGGATGGCCAGAACCGACTTTGAAGAGCCATCCAAGGGCATGAATCTAAGGTACTTAGAATATGAGATTAAAACAGAAGAGAGCACTTTGATACAACAATATCCTCCAGAACACGTGGTGTTGAGCAATCCATATTCCATTCAGAAACAGGGTTGGAATGCATTCAAGTCAGTGTATTTGCAGAAACAGAATGTCAACCTTGATATCAATAGGTTTAGGCCCATTTTGTTAAGAGCTATTGAGCTCTTACATCAGTAAATATTACTGTTTTTCTCATAGAATTATTCTTTTTTCTTCAATTTTCTTGTTAATTACCTTTTCATTTCTAAACTATAGTTGGAATATTGGTGAGACGAAATCCTTTTTGTGATTAAAGAATTGCAGAGACATTTAGTTATTTAGGCCATATATACTGTATTTCAGTTGATTATTTCATTTAAACATATATTTCTTCTACTCATATAATGCAATCACATAATTAAAACAAAATCATCTATTTATTACAACAGTCATGATTTAAATGAGAATAGCAGGCATTGATAAAAAGTAATCGTTTGACACAATTTTTCATGCTCATATAAAACGTATAAGATGTCCTCAATTAATTTCAGCATAGAAATTAACAATTGTTTCACCACAGTGAAAACAGCAAGGAAATGGAAATTAGTGACTTAAACCATTTCATAACTAACACGATTAGATGTTTTACTAAACATAAAAGAAGGCGTAAAACCAAGATGCATGTGGTTGGTGAACAAAGTCTTTGAAACAGATACACCAACTACAAGTCTACAACCAATCAGAGCTTTTTTAGACTTTTTGCTACGATGCTTGTTTCACATTTAACAACAATTATAAAATGCAGTTTTTGCAAGTATATGCGAACTCTATAACTACATTTTTTTTTCCAAATTCTAAAATGCTGCTAAAAAATTGTATTTTGTAACTAAATCCACTAGATGATATATATGTATATATGTATATATATATATGTATGTATGTATGTATGTATATGCTGCCATATGCCAATGTTAAGTGAGCTTACCTCTCCTCTAAATTGAAATATATTAAACACCAAAACCAAAGTATACTACCCATATTTCACATTACTTGAGGTTGAAAGAGAATACATTCATGTAAGCCGAGCTTGAGCTAGGTCTCTGAACCCAACAGGGATATATTATTTATGAATAAAATAATATATTTTTATTTAATTTTAATTTTAAATTTTATTTTAAAATATAAAATAATATATTATTAGTTTGATGATAAAATAAGAGAAATTATTTGATACATTGATAATATAATATTTTAACTCCACAAGGTTAAAATGGTGATACATGTCTCATTTTTTTTTTAAATATACTCTAAGGATGTGTTTAGTACATAAAATTATGATAAAATATGATAAGATGATATTATGAATAGAATTAAATTAAATTACGTTATCCTATCTTGGGTTTGATGTGTGTAAGGATTATGATAGGATAATTTATTTATTGCTCAAAATTCTCTTTTCTTGAAGTTTGTATAATTTAAATTATTGATACAATTTTTAAGGGTATAATAAAATATGTAAATTCAATCTTATATATTAAAAAAATCTTCTCCATTTTAGGAGATTTTAATTATCTTATATTAAGAGGATGATTAATCCTCCTTTTAATCCTATCATTTTTTTAGATATGCACCAAACATGATATAAGAGATATGTATTACTATCTTAACCCAGCTTGTAAAATAAAAAAATTTTACTATCAATATATTTGATAATTTATCATAAAATAATATGTAAATGATTGGATTAGATATAAAAAAAAATCAAACTTATGAATGCATATACTATTATTATACTCCTTCCATCCATAATTAATGTGATATCCAACCTTTTCCCATTATTCATTTCTAATTTTATCCTTTGTTTTTACCTATATATTCATATAACATTTTCATTTCAAATGCATTTTTATCTTAGCATTTAATAAAAGAAAATTTTATAGTTGTAAAAGTGATTTGCAAGAAAATACAGAGAAGCTTAAATAATTGTTATGTATTATATATATATAATATATATATTCCAAAATAAATCAATGCCCCTCCCTCAAAGTAATATAATTCTCTCCAATTTTTATTTATGATTGAAACTTTAAAAAAGGTTAAAAACATCGAAACTTTTCCCAAGTTTAAAATTTAAACTTTATCTTCTCTTTTTTTATGACATTATATTAAAAGTAGAGATTATAATCACAGTCAAATAACTTTCATCCATCAAATAATATATTCACTAAATATAAATAAACCAATCACAACAAACAACCATAATAAAAATATAAGGTGTAAATATTTTAATACTAAAAGGTAAAATCGCAAGAAATAAATTTTTAAATAAAATTCATAAAGTTCACAACAACAAATGGTTTATATGAAAACTATATTTGGATGGAAGATGCATTGTAGTGGGGGTGCTCCTCATTATATCCTACACCATACAAGTCATTTCACTTCTTTCACTAGACATTCAAAGATATTTTATTAAATATAATAACTCTAAGGGGTATTTGATTTGGGAGAACCTAACACTTTTCTTCAAAATATTGCTATTAGGTATTTAATTTTTCACATTTTATAAGGGGTGTTAGATTGCTAGGGATAATTTCATATTCTCAGCAGCATCCAAAATAAAAAAATTAGAAATCCACCTTTTCCTATGATTTTTTAAGATTCCAGGAGGAAAATTACTTTTGTCCGATATTTGCTTGAATAAAATTATTTTATATCTTTTTTACCTATTTGAAAATCAAAGTATGATTAGTTTTTTATTTTTTTACAAACATCAAATATTGCATTTGTTGGAAAAAAATGCAGTAATTGTTGTGACTTTTTTTTTGAAATTTGTGAAATTAACGCAAAAAAAATATTTTTAATTACTGCGTGATAACAAAAAATAATGTACCATTTGATTTAGTTGCTTTAAAAATATATATTATTTTAAATGTAGCCAATTATTGTGTTATAATAAAAATTAATGTAGTATTTGATTGTAATAGTTTAAAAAATACAATTGTTTTTTTATATCGCAGTCAATTACCACATTTATATGTATATTAACACAGTATTTGATTGAACAAGTTTAAAAAATACAATAGTTCTTTATAACGCACTCCATTACTACGTTATAAAAAAAGTAACGCAATAGTTGATTTTATTTATTTTAAATTTTAAATTTTAAATATTTTGTTATAAAAAACTCAATTATAACAAAAAGTAACGCAGCATTTGATTGTATTTTTTTAAATGTCAATTGTTTTGTATAACACTCCCAATTATTGCGTTATAAAAAGAATTGATGTAACATTTGATTAAAATTTGTTTTAAATTTTTAATTTTTTGTTATAAAGAACTCAATTACTGCATTTATATTAAAGTGAATGCAGTAATGACAAGTTTTATATTTTATCAATTGTTCCACTTGAATACTACGATAGGATGATATAACACTGTAATTGATTTTATTTACTGCATTTCCTTCATTACAAACGTAATAATTAAGCATTCTCTTTTGAAAATCGAGTTTCTGACATGACTAACATGCATATGTCTAATCAAATAAAAGCCAAATTTTTTTTAGAATCAATTACTTCATTATAGACATAAGAAATGCAATATTTGGTGTCTTTAACTTTGTTGAATAACAAACACCACCTAATTTTTATCAGACAACACTAAAAGATCTCTAGCATAGACTTCTCTGTTTCAACCAACATCAACTATAAACTTTGATTTCATTGTCACCTTGTTCAGTTTATTTTTTATTTATCAATAAATAATGTGTATACTTATCCTAATTACATCATTATCCATTCTTCATTATTAGTTTGATTGAAATGTGTACTTGTTTTATTTGTTTACATCTTGTTTAGATTTTGGTTTTAGTCCTTGATGCACATATGTTTTATTGTTACATTTTTTTTAATCTTTTTTTCTTAATTCTTTTTAGTTTCCATGTATGAAATGCACATATTTACTTTCAATACATGTTTTCAACATTAACCAAACTGTTTGATTTATACAGTTATGGCTCATTTATCACTAAGACATAAGATGCAATTGGTAACAATGCTTATTTTGCACTTAAAACAATTAGGGACTATGTAAGACCTATTAATTATTATTGCGGTAAGAAATTTTGCAATGAATCATAGAAAAAGACGTAGAATATCTTATACTAATAGCCTTTATGATAGGCTACCGATTAGAAAGTTGAATTTAAATGCAATAAATTTTTATAGTGATAGACAATTTATAGATAATTGTAGAATAGATAGGAGAACTTTTACAAAATTATGTTATTTGCTTCAATCACATGGGGGATTACAAGCATCTATAAATATGTCAATAGAAGAAATGGTTAGTTGCTTCCTCCACATCATTACCCATTATACAAAAAAGAGGGTCATGAAGCATCAAGTTGTCAAATTCAAAAAGGTAATTAATAGGCAATTTCATGCTACATTAAATTCTGTTTTGAGACTTAATTCTTTGTTATATTAAAAAACCCAAGCCAATATCGAAAAATTCAACAAATAATAAATAAAAATGGTTCAAGGGTTGTTTAGGTGCCTTAGATAAAACATACATAAAGGTGAATGTAGACTCAAGTGATAGACCTAGATACAGGATAAGGAAAATTGAAATTGCAACCAATGTGCCTGGTGTTTGCACACTAGAACTGCAATTCATATATGTTTTACCTAGCTAGGAAAGTCCTATAATAGATGGCAGAGTGCTAAATGATGCCATTACATACAAAAATGGGTTAAAGGTCACACAATGTATTAGGTTGAATTTTTTGGTTTTAGTTTTGCATGGAACCCATTTTTTTATTAATGTTTTGACATTGGAATAGGTTAGTACTATTTATTTGATATTGGATACACAAACGGGGAATTTTTTTGGTTTTTTATACAGGTCAAAGATATTGCCTAAATAATTAGAGGCCAGGACACCAACTGATGTCATCCTAGGAATACTTCAATATGAAACACTTTCAAGTATGAAATTGTATTGAGAGATATTTTGATATATTGAAAGCTAGATAGGCAATTTTAAGAGAGAAGTCATTTTTCCCAATATAAGCAAAGTGTAGAATCCTTTTTGTTTGGTACCTTCTTCATAATTTTATTAGGTCTGAGATGGCAATCGATCCAATTGAAGTTGATGTTGTTAAAGAGACTATTAGCCAACTAGATGGATTTGAA